TGAAAATAAAAAACAATCATTTCAGTGTTAATCATCTTAACAGTCGCTCGCAGTGTTAATAAAATTTTAAAACAAACTATTAAATTAAACAATCACAGGTTACTTTATGGTAAAATTAATATTCTTTTTTAAAATATTATTATTTATTTCTTTTTCTTTTTTTATTATTGTTAAAAACGTGACATATCCACATTCCTCCCACCAAAGAAATCTAGTTTTCCTTGGACATGTTAGTAGAAAACACCATTGACGTTCATGATAACGTTTTCTATATGCTTAGGTTGTTTGATTCTGATAGGTCGAGCGTTCCCTAGAACCTGTCACGGTGTTTTTCAATAAGCCTCTTTCTCTATCTACATCACGTTATGCCATTCATGCTCATGATATGGTTTTCTTTTTAAAACGAACGGTAGCTTGGTAGCATTTGTGGGTAGAGAACGTGAGTAAATCCTTGGAGTCCTCATATGTAGGAATCTGCAGAAAAGTTTGCTTATAATTTTATTTTGGTAAATTTTCTGCCCATAGCTAACTTCTCAATCATATAGCTTGTGCGCTATAAGGGGTATCTATAATAGTTTATCTTTAGAACAGGGTTTATGGTATTTTTTGTCAGGGCACACCCTCCTGGTGCCGTCTCTCTTGATAACAGGTGTTAGTGGACTTGCCCATCTGCCTGAGATACAGCTTCTATGATGTTATCTTTTGTCCAGACGTCCAACCCACGACTCATTGCGTCAATCCTGGCATATGGCGCTCTCTAGGGGATATGATTCTAGATACCGCCATATGCTTCAAGTATATTTTCACTTGCCTGATCATTTTGAGTTTGTTGGAAGGGGTTGCCTAAAGGTCATTTTTCATAGTCGAAATCATCTTCTCGAGATGATCATCTACATTACCCACAATAAACGTTTTTAATATATTATTGAAAGCGTGGAGCCATACACGTCCTAACAGGGAGCACTTATCACTATCTACCACTATAGTCTCCAGCGTTTGTGTGATTCCTTCAAACATCAGGTTAACATTTACTATGCCTATGATTTTGATAGCGCTGCCGTCGTACACTGTCAGCCTAATACAACCTTAGTTGTGTGCCTCGGTAATATCTTGTACCTAGTGCCGGTGTCCACATGCATCAACGTGGGTATATCGTTAATGCTCACCATGATGTTGTACGCATTATCATGATGTTGTACGCATTATATCTGGTGTCGCTGACCTCCAAATTGTTCATCTCCAGATTCTGAAGATTGTACTCTTTAACATCGGTGTTTATGACGTCCTCATCATCGATTTCTTGGATGTTCATAGTATAGTTGGTGTTCGATTGACAATCACGATCTTTATAATCATAAGATCTGTTATTGGTATTAGAGATCTGCAAAGTTAGGCCCGGCTCGAATAGGATTCGGGCCGGAATCGGGTCTAATTCTATTTAAAATAATTGGGTTGGCCGGGTCGGGTCGGATTTTGGGAATTTTTTTAATTATATCTAAATTTATCAATTTTATATTGATTTTTATGTAAAATAAAAATATTTGATTTTATTTATTGAAACTATACGACATATAACATATGTCTTTTATTTTGAGTAATTATAAAAATTAATTTCTATATTTAAATAAATTCCAGCGGGGCCGGTAAATTTTTTTAAAAAAATTTCGGGTTCGGGCGGACCGGCAAAACTTTTTTAAAAAATTTCTGATTCGGGCCGGGCCGGCAAAACTTTTTAAAAAAAATTTCTGGGCCAGGCTTAAAAAATTAGGCCCGATGCAGATCACTAATTGGTATAATTGTCATTATTGTAATGATTGGACCTCGGCGAATATTTCGGAAAACCATTACTATTTTGAGGGTCATGTCTATGCTGACCGTACGTGGATAGATGGTTCGGTTAATCGCCTCTATGGCAATCATCGCGTTGATCAAGGCTTTGACGATGGTCACAACGATAGTCGTGGTGGTTGTCATGGATGTTGTACCAGTACAACAATCGCCAGTTGGCGATTTTTGTATTGATCGTCGTAGTGATTGTCGAAACGGTTGCGGTTATCCTGACGAATATCGTAGCGTTTATCGAAACGTTTGTCGCGGTAGTTGTCGTGGCGTCCGTCAAATCGTTTGTGGGCGGCAGTTGTCATAGCGTATATCGTAACGTTCATCGAAGCGTTTTTCGCGGTAATTATCGTAGCGTCCATCGAAATGTTGTTCTTGGAGTTTGTCATACATGTGCTGGGGTTTCTTGGTGAAAGCATTATATTTTACAAGAGATTTACCATGTGCATTAGAGTTCTGTATGGGTTTTATGGTCTCGTTGCTATTTTTAGCTCTGCCCATGTGATTATTGTATTCCACAGGTGATTCATCCAAATGTATGGCTTCTACTTTCAACACGCCCTTGATGTCATTTCCTGATGTCTTCATCTAGACCTAGATTGTAAATATCTTCTATCATCATAGAGTTCCTGACCGCTCTCCTAATATCTTCGGAAATCGGAGCAACTCTCACCTTCTCGATAATGCGTTGAATGCCATCGAATTTGCATTCTTTTTTAAGTCTGGCTACGCGTGTGATCCATACTGTGAATGTATCCTCGTTGCCTTGCGTGGCGGCGTAGTATACAGAGAGCTTAGCATTCTCGGTCCTTGAAGGATGTTGATACTTCAATTTGCAAAGAAGAGCGATAGGGCCCAGGAGATCTGCTTCCGTACAGATTTCTCCAATGTTGTTTAACTCATTATCAAATAAACTTCGAAGAAACAAAGAGCCTTTTTCCCGTTGGAAATCTTGCTTGTATCGAAGAAGCTTTGCAATTTCCCTAAGGCACTGTCATCGCTACTAAATTTGGGAAATTCCCTTTGACAAATTCGGTCTTATAGGTGGAATTGTTCGAGGCATCCATCGTTAAAGAATTATATTCAGATAAAAGCGTTATAGAGAATGCATGTAACATACAAAATCAAGATCAATTTTGAGATAAGGATTACGCGAAGACGCGGAAGTAGCACACATAGCTTTACCTCCATGATGTGTTGGTGAGAAGTATAGTGTATATAGATACATTTTATTAGAATCATCATTTGATTCTTTATTTAATAATCATATATAACGTCTGAATATTTATATGTTTTATAAGATTCATCATTAATTTTATTATATTATAATAATATGGAGCATCATATTTATATATATATTTCGCGCGAGTTAATATATGAATAACATTTTATGCTGTCCTTATCACTATTCATCCTCTTTTATATATGATATTACAAAAATTTTACAGTGTTAATCATCTTAACAGTCGTTCTTAGTGTTGTTAAAAAGCCCGATTCGATATTAAAAAATGGCCCGATAAATATTTTAACCAAAATAATATTACGTAAGCCTAAAGATTTTGCACATAGCTGGCAGAAATGCTTAGGCATTTATTTGCCAAATCTCGATGCTTGCATAATGGTATTTTAACTAAAATCTTAATCGAGCCGTTTTGAAAAATCGACCCAAATCGGGCCTTTTAACAACACTACTCGTTCGCAGTGTTAATAATATTAAAAACAAACTATTAAATTAAACAATCATAGGTTACTTTATGGTAAAATTAAGATTCTTATTTTGTAAATATTATTATTTAATTGTTTTTCTTTTTTTTATTATTGTTAAAAACATGAAATATCAACATAATTCTATAAATATTTATAGAAACTTATAATTACCTTCATTGAATGTTTGGCTAAAAAACATAACTTTTTCTAAAATCACTGGCCTATTTGGATTGCAATTTTTACTTCGCATTTGAATAAACCAAACCAATAAAGCTGCTTCTATCTTTAGGTAACAACTTATTCCACTCATTTTGTTGCAGGAGGTTTATCCTTAGAAATTGTGAGCCTACTTGCTTTATTAGCTTCCAATCTGAACATGACATTTATAATTTAACGCTATTTGTGTTTTTGAAGTAGTGCTTAATTTTTCAATGATTTCTCCCTTTTGCTTGAGGGTTAACGTTTGGAATGATGTTTTATTTTAAAAATAATTTTAACATTATTATATTATATTATAATTACCATTTTAATATTAAAAGAGTTAAAGGTGCAGTTCATGCATAATAAATCACGAATAATTTTTTTCGATAAAATTTTTTTTATTTTCTCACTTATCCGATTAAATTAGGGTAGGGTAAGGGTTAGGGTTAGTCAACGTTATTGTCATATAAATGGAACCTAAAAAATTTCGCAATTATCCTATATTTCGTTAACCAATTCGCAATTATAAATGTATTAACATTATGCCATAGTAATTTTTATCAAAATCGCGGGGTTGGTTTTGACTGTCTGCCTTTACCACTTAAACCAATTATTATGGATAACATTACAATAAAAGTCAATTAACAGGTAATTTTTTTTATTGATCAAGATTTAAAATGTTCCTAAAGGTATTTTAGAAACAAATAATAGTATTTGGCAATAATATTTTGGAAAATTTATTACATATTTTGTTTTTTAATATAGATATATGTATTTGTTAATTATTATTAAAAAAAATTTTAAAAAAATGTATATCTGAAATGTATTGAAAAATATGTATATAAGTATCGAATATATTTTTCCACGGTGTTTTAGATTCGTATTGGTATTGGTTTAAATATGTTTAAAAGTATCCGCTGATAAATATAAGCTTAAATTTATAATTTTTCTTTTATTTGATTAGTATCAATATACTGTAGGAGGAACTATCCTATATAAACTATAAAAATAATAATTTTATTTAAGAATTTATGCAAAATTTTTAGTGTAGTTTAAAATTTTTTATAGTGATAAGTTATGTATGGTGCCTAACCTATGTATTTTGAAAGAAATCTTAAAATTTAAAAAAGCTTTTAACGAAATACTTCTGTTAGAATATTTTTCCCATGTCTGGTCTCGTTTTATCAAGTTACAGCAGAGCTGGCAAGTATGTTTAGACTGGTCAGTAATTAACATTAACCTAGAATTTGCATTTGGCATTTAAATTAGTTATCCAAAATCAGCTGTTTTTACGTTTAAGAAATATGAAAAAAGCCTGCGTTATAGTTCTTGGTGAAATTAGTCAAAGTCCACGGATGCAGTTTCACGCTCTTTCTTTAGCTGAAATAGGCTACCATGTTGATTTTATTTGTCATGCAAGTATATTAATTAGTACCTCAATTTAAATAATTTTTAGACAATAAAATCAAGATTTTTTTTAAAAAATCATTATTTAAACCTCTAGATTTCGTTAATACATCATTTTAGCAAAATCCAAAGGCTTAGGTAATATTTTTTAGGCTAAAATCTTGGAGGTTTTCAAATAACACTAATATTAATGATAAATTAATTTATACTATTTTTAGAGTCCTCTCCATATAAAGAAATTTCAAATAATTCCTTAATACATGTATATTCACTAAGAAGATTTCCAAATCTTGAACTGAGTCATAAAATATAACATTATATATCTAACTTTTTTTATAGATTTATTTTATGTGATATTACTCATTTTAAATTTCCTATGGACAATTGTAAATGTATTTATTATTCTCTCTAAAATAAAAAATCCGGATATTATTTTTATTCAAGTAGATTATGTTTTTCAAATTATTTACTAAATATATTACTTTAGAATCCTCCTGCCATTTTTGTATTACCTATTATAAAATTGTATACAAAATTTTATTGGAAGCATTGTAAAATCATCTTGGATTGGCATAATTATGGTCATACTATATTTGCTTTAAAATATCCTACACATTTATATTTATATAAGTTATATAAATGGTAATAAAAACATAAAATTATTTAATTTTATCTAGCCTTAAAATATGATTAGTATTAAAAATATTAAGAGTTAATAATATTTTATTTGGAATAAATTATAACTAAAAATTTAGTATATTCAAGCTCAAAAATATTGGCTTCACTATAAAATAAAGATATATATAGTCTGGGACGATAAAAATTCAGGTTAAGCAAATATTTTTTTGTTGGCCACCCTCAAATTTATGATTATTTCTTCACAAAAAATAAAAATAATTCTGGGCTAAAAAAAATTCTAGTGGGCAGCTTGTGTTTAATTATTTTTTGTGTAGGGCTTAAAATATTATGGGCATGGCCACAAAACATTTTTTGTAATGAGTTTATCATGACATAGGAATATCTAGTATTATGCCAAAAGTTCATATCCCATGCTTAATAACAATACAAAGTGTTTTTTTAGGTGCAAAAATTCTATTATAATAAATAGAAATTTAAATTATTTTTTCGCCTCTCTGAACAAATTTCAAAATTTCAGAGACAATAATTTAAAGGGCAATATTATTTTTGTTTTTGCTTAACATTTGTATTAAAAATATTTTATATCACATTTTGGGCCAAAACCAGGAATCTTCACTAATTTCATAAGAGGACCTTTTTACATTGGAAAATTTCTTTGGAAATCTAGGTCTAGACTCTAGTACTTTTCCAGGAAGGGATAAAAATTTGACCAATGTTCCTGAAAATTATTATAATTTTATATTAAAATTTATTATAAAATTTAATATAACTCAATTACTACATTAGTTTTGAAGGATTATTAAGTATAAAATTTATACTAAATAATTGACACTCTAGAATTGGGTAGGGAGTGGTCATAATTTATAAATGATTTTATTTGTAACAAAGAATAAATAACGTGCAAATGTTAGTTTTATTAAGTGGTATCTATATTAAAGATTAACTTTTTACTTTAAAAAAACTTAGTGGTGGTGTGCTAGTTAAAAAATATATATTAGTATACCAAAAAATAGCAATCACGATAGTATACTATTTCTAAATAAAATAGCAATACTTGAAAAAAAAATAGTGTATATTGATTGTCAACCAATGTTCTGGTTGGTTTTTTGGATCAGTTTTCAGTCAATAACTATTTTTTGAAATTATACCCGATTTAGTGCGTTACCTTAAAAATAGCCTTTAAAAGCTTGGATTTTAGATCCTAAAGTCAAGTTCTAATTAAAACTCAATTATCTAAAACAACAATATAAAAAATATTTATTACATATGAAATACTATAAATGTATTAAATGTGTCGTAATCGTAGGCAGGACTGATTAACGCAAAAAAAATTGACCCATTAGAAGCCATGATTATTTTGCTTTATTTGTGATAATTATAATAATAGAACTAACCAAGACCTACGAAAATATTAATAGGTTAAGGAACCCGCGATTTATCCTATTATAATATGCATAAATAGAGACTAATTTATCCTTTTTTTTGCCTTAATCATGATCGAGGGTTTGGTAGAATATTTAAATCATTTTGGAGTTTAGTTATTCGATTTTGATAAACCTAATTTTACCAGAATTGTTCCCCATATTATGTATAGGGTCTTACCCTATCAATTTTAGACAACTTTTTCATGAAATTTTGGGGTTAACTTTATTTATTTATTAACAATATATTTATGGAGAGTTATCAATATTGATTCAAAATTTCACTGCGAAGTCTGAAATTTCAATTTGTGGCATGCAATTCCGGCAAAATCAAGTCTTTAAAATTTAACAAATATGGCACTATAAATGATTTAAATTTTAACGATTCCTCCTTATTAGGGGAATTTAATGGTCTTTCTCTGCACCACGGGTAATGCCGAAACGATAGTTTGGTCTTTGCAATAGGTTAGGTTCTATCTTTGGTTCAGTCTGGGCCAAATTTTTTATATAGTTAACTAATTAAATCTGAATCAGTTCAGTTCCTTGTTACCATTATTTCCAAGCAGATGACTTATAAAAAAAGAAGCGAAATAGATTATAAAGCAAGAGGATACAGTCTATCATAATTATTTAATTGAAATTATCAATTTGGTCTTAGTGAAGCTGATTTTCACTAACTTTTTATTAAGGGAGTGCTTAAAGTCTAAGTTTTTTTATTTATGGGCTTCTCATACAATGATTTTTTTTTAAAAAAAGTTTAATTTTTTACCTTTGTTATAAATAAGTGCTACTGCCAATAAATGCTTTAGAAACTAGATACATTTGATTTTTATAAAATTACCTTAGGGTATAATAATATGAAAATTAATAATTTTTATTTTATGCCAAGAACCCCCCTTCCCTCCCTCAAGCCAATGATTGTTACTGCTATGTTAGTTATCAGATTTTATCTTATTTTGATATTTACAAATGAACGGAATTTTTAGTTTAATAATTATATTATACAGATGTGTAAAACCAAAATAAAAATCGGTTCTGGCCACAGTCCTGTCGGTCTTTATATTGTGGTGATCGGTTCAGTTTGGTCTTTACCGTTCACGGTTCGATTTAATTCTGAATATTTTTAGCTACTCCTTACCTCTAGTGAAATATTGGATTACACTTAATTTCTTATCCCCTATGACATATAAACCTACATTTAATAATAATTAATTATAATGATATTACAATTTTTTATCTAGCCTAGAAATCAAAATGGGCTTATGGACTGATTACAATTTATGTGTATCAAATGCCTTGAAAATGGACTTAATAGAAAATTATAATATCAAGTAATTTATAAATCTTTTATAAAATTTAATTTTCATAAATAAAACGATATAAAATTGATTTGCATATTTCCAACGTAGATTCAACTCAAAATTTTATTATAAGTCATATACCGGGTATTTTATTTTATGCGTAGCCAGGATTGATCCATGGGGGGGGGGGGGGGGGGGTGAAAAAATATTAGTAACTAAATTTTTGCCAAAAAGCATAATTCTGAAAATTTTATCAATGTTTAGTCAATTGTAAATTAATTCAATCCATTTGGTATAGAAAGAAGAAAAATATCGCCCTCCAAACCTCCCATTTTTTATGATCACTCAATATATCTTTATCTATGAAAGTAATTATTTTAATAAAATTTTTGCATTAGATTTTATTTATTATTAAAATACTTTAGTATAAATAACACCCCTTTATTTAACTATGTATTTATTTTAATGATAATATACAATAAAATAAATTTCAAATGGTAGAAATTTTATACAGATTATATTAAAAAATTATTCTAAATAACTATATTTAAAAAAAATAAAATTACAATAAAATATGAGTAATTCTTGCACTTGTATTTAAAAAAATCTAATTTAACAATTATAATTAATACAAATGAGTATATTAAAAAACATAAATAATTCTTATTAGAGATCTGCAAAAGTAGGAAAATCGAGTTGGGGCTGGGTCGGGCCTAATATTTTTTTAAAAATTTCGGCTGGGTTGTGTTGAGTTTTGGAAATTTTTAAAATATCTAAATATATTAATTTTATGTTAACATTTTTATGTAAAATAAAAATATTTGATTTTATTTATAAAAAGTAGACGGCATATAACATATATCTTTTATTTTGAGTAAATGTATAAATGAATTTCTATATTTAAATAAATTCGGGCCAGGCAGACAAAACTTTTTTTTTAAAAGTTCGGGCCGGGCCGGCAAAAATTTTTTAAAACAATTTCGGGCTGGGCCGGGCTTGAAAAATTAGGCTTGATGCAACTAATTCTTATTGCAAATACAATATTTTTATTAAAAATATAAATAGTATGACTAAGAATTCATTCGGTTTTGAATATAAAAATTTTATGACTAAGAATATATTATAATAATATTGCAATTTTATGATTTTAATTTATAAAGAGAGGTCTATTTTTCTCTGAGATTTGACTAATTTATCTAGAATTAAATTTTTATCTAGAATAATCCCCTTATAAATATTTAATATTGCGAATCCATTTAAACGGCTTTCACCGGTCCTATTTCTTAAATAGGTTTTTAACCTTTTCAAAGTTTAAAAAGACATTTCATTAGTGCAGGTGCTAATCGGTAAGGTAGCTAAAATAAATAGCAATTTTTTGATATTGGGTAGGAAATTAAAGTTTACACATGGAAAGGTCCTGCAAAGCATTTTTTGGTCTCAAAGAGTACTCTATTCTGTCAAAATTTGTATACCAAAATTCGACATCACAAAGTAACTTAACATACGATCTTGATAATTCATCAGAATAAAATCTGAGTCTTAATATCCTCTCGCTTTTCAAGTGTATTCAGACTCAACCGGCAAAAGAAAATAAAAGCTGTTTAAAATAAAATTGTGACTAATAAATCTTTCCTTTAATTGAAATAAAAATGTATCAATAAGGGGAATAAAAATATTTATTTTATAAAAATTCTTAATCGTAGATGCATCATAATTTAAGCGATTGGACTATCTAGAAACTACTCTATTTTTAAATTTTTTAATCCCAAACATATTAGTTATCACCTTTATCATTATATTTACCAAATTAAATGATTTTTCTTTTATTTAAAAATTATAAAAAATTAATTAAAATTTTTAAAATCTAATTAGTTTAACAATATTAATTTTATTATTAAATTTATAAATATCTAATTTAACTATGCTAGAAAAAATTTACAATATAATTTTATTGTTATTTAATATTTTATATATAATTTTTAATATATATTTTTAAACCATGTTAACATTTAAAATTGAAAATTCTTATGTTTTTTTAAATATATTTCATTTTCATATCTTATATAATTTTATTTATAAATTGAAACCATTTTTAAATAAAATTATTCGCAATAAGAAAAAAATTTTCGGAGGTTATGAGGGCCCCCCCCCCACTTGTCTACGCCACTGCATAGTTCTAAATTTCTAGGGGTTATATATACGTATGTTAGTTAGTTGTTATTTCTTATTAATGTTTTATAATAAAATAAAGAAATTCAACCTATTTTCCTAAGTTTTTATTTGGTTTTTATTTTTAAAGTAATTTTATTAGATATGGAATCCAATATACATCTTTTTTATAACCATATTCATAATTTTGTATTGTTACTTTCCATAAGATTATTCATTTTATAATCAATAAACTAGGCAATTATATTATGACAATAAAACCAAATATAATTATAGATACTTTTATTATATCATTGAAAATAGTAAAATAATTTTTAAGTATCTACAAATAATTAACCTAAATTTTTACGAGCCCACATATATAGACCTTAAATAATTAATCATTTAATAATAAATTTATCATTTAGCAAAATTTTTTGAGATCAAATGTTTAATATTATGATAAAAATCCTCATTCCAAATGATAATTTAAAAAATCTTTTTAACTTATTTGAGATTTCGAGAATTCCATATGGGAAAGTTAAAAAATTAAAACTAAATCAATACCGGAAGTTAATTCGGCACAACTCCCTAAAAAACTTAAACTATTATAAATGAAAATATTTATAACGTCGGTAAAATTTAACTTAAAACATTTAAAATATTAAAAACAATTGATTTGTACATTTTATAAAATCAGCGCCACTTAACTTTAGCAAATTTAAATATTATACCAAAATGATGTAAATATTTTAAATCTACGACATGCCACCCTCTTAGAAACCCCTCCCCCCTCAACAGAATAATTTTTTACAGCTATTTGCATCCAAATAATCTATAATTAAAAAATCTCCGAATTATAAATCTTAAAATAAAAGATTTCTTTAAAACTACAAACATGTTCGCCCCGATTTGTTCTACCTTTACTGCTATCTTTAGGTGTAATTATTTTATCATACTTCAAGTTATAGCCATTGATGGACCTATATAGGTTTTTATTTAGTGGAACGTTATCGGAGGAAGATGATAATGTCGGATTGATGGGAATATCAGCATAATCTTTATAGGAAGAAGATGATAATACCGGAATAATGGGAATATTCCTATTATTGCTAAAAACTAGTGCTGTAAACATTTCTAAAAAAATCGAACTCATTCAACGTTTATTGACAGAAATAGAACACGTTCACTTTCAAGAAAAGGAACGCGTTCATGTTCAAAACTTTATGAATTAATTTTTTTTAAATTTAATTTAATATTTTATTAAAATAAATAAATAAATACCATATAATTAGTGTTGTTAAAAAGTCGAGTTCATCCGACTCCGACTCAGAGTCTCGAGTCGTTAGTCGAATATGTCGACTAACTCAAACTCAAGTCGTGAACTCGAGTCGTGAACTTAAGTCGACTCGAGTCGTGAGCTCAAGTCGACTCGAGTCGTGAGCTCAAGTCGACTCGAGTCGTGAACTCAAGTCGACCCAAGTCGTGAACTCAAGTCGACCCAAGTTGTGAACTTGAGTTGTCAACTTGAGTCGACTAGAGGACGAATATTTCAGATTTATTATTATTAATTAAGATAGTTTTTGTATTTTTTTCGACTTCCAACTTGAGTCGTGACTCGTGAATATAATTAAATAATTGAGTCGACTAGAGGACCAATAGTTCTATGAACTTGAGTTAACTAGAGGACGAATATTTCAAATTAGTTATTATTTAAGATATTTGTTGTTATTTACTTTTTACTTTAAACCCCAAACTTGAGTTGTGAATACAAAATATATAGTTATTGACTAGAGGACGAATAGTTCTCTGAACTTGAGTCGTCAATTTAAGTCGATTAGAGGACGAATAGTTCTCTGAACTTGAGTCGTCAATTTAAGTCGATTAGAGGACGAATATTTCAAATTAATTATTAATTTATTTAAAATATTTTTTCTGCTTTTTACATTTTTTTACTTTAGACTTCTAATTTGAATTGTGAAAACTGAGAAGAATTATATAAATTAGTCGACTAGATGATGAATATTCCAAATTAGTTATTATGAAAATATTTTTTGTTTTTATATTTTTTTACTTTAGACTTCCAACTTGAGTCTTGACGTGAATAAGAATTATATAGTTGAAGTTGAGTCGACTAGAGGAAGAAAAGTTCTTTGAACATGAGTCGACTAGAGGACGAATATTTTTAATATTATTAATTAAGATATTTTTTGTTTTTACATTTTTTACTTTAGACTTCCAGTTGAGTCGTGAATACAAATTATATAGTTGAGTAGATTAGAGAACGAATAGTTCAAATCAAATGTTATTATTTAAGATTCTATTATTTACATTTTGTACTTAAAAATTTCAACTTGAGTCGTCAATTTGTGTCGACTAGAGGACGAATATTTTAAATTAATTATTAAGATATTTGATCTGTTATTTACATTTTATTTTAAGACTTCCAACTTGAATCATGAATACCAATTATTTACTTCATTAACTTATTCCTCATTTTACTTGATCAAATAAATTCTTATTAACATTTTTTGATTGAATACTCAAAAAAATTCTTATTTACATTTTTTTGATTGAATAAAATTCTCAAATAATAATATATTTTGCAGGTATCTGAATATTTTGAAATTATATCTCAACCATATTTTGAATTTTATATAAGACAGACATGTGATAATAATCAAAACTAGAGATGACGGGTGGATCTTCTTTAGCATTCCTCCTCATCTGTATTTAATATATATTAAGTATATTTATAGTACCTCTTTTAGGTAATTATTTTATTTAGTCATTAATGGTTAATAACTATTAAAATATTTTAATAATATCAAATGTACTTGTAGATACATATATAAAATAAAAAGAAAAAAATAAATATACGT